ACAGTGCCTGAGGAATAACACCCAAGGTTGTCCTCCAGCCCCCACATGCATGTACACTGCATACACACGCACACAAGAGATCGGGTCCTATGTCAGTCATCTGGATCTGAACCTTTGAAACTGGCAACCCTGGCTTACTTCTAGAGAAAGAGAAGAAAGTAGAAAACACTTTCCAACTGTAACCTTTTTTTTTTTTTTTTTTTTTAAGATTTTTTTTTTGCCAGGCATTGGTGGCACTCGCCTTTAATCCCAGCACTCGGGAGGCAGAGGCAGGCGGATCTCTGTGAGTTCGAGGCCAGCCTGGTCTCCAGAGTGATTGCCAGTATAGGCTCCAAAGCTACACAGAGAAACCCTGTCTCGAAAAACCAAAAAACAAAAAAAGATTTATTTATGTGCTGGGAGGTGGTGGTACACACCTTTAATCCCAGCACTTGGGAGGCAGATGCAGGCAGATCTCTTGTGAGTTCAAGACCAGCCTACAAGAGTACAGGCTCCAAAGCTACACAGAGAAACCCTGTCTCGAAAAACCAAAAAACAAAAAAAGATTTATTTATGTGCTGGGAGGTGGTGGTACACACCTTTAATCCCAGCACTTGGGAGGCAGATGCAGGCAGATCTCTTGTGAGTTCAAGACCAGCCTACAAGAGTACAGGCTCCAAAGCTACACAGAGAAACCCTGTCTCGAAATAGTATGTATGTATGTATGTATGTATGTATGTATGTATGTATGTATGTAGTGTCCTGCCTGCATGTCAGAAGAGGGCACCAGATCTCATATATGGTTGTGAGCCACAATGTTGTTTCTGGGAATTGAACTCTGCAGCCAGTGCTTTAACCTCTGAGCCATCTCTCCAGCTGCTCACACTGTTACTTTTAAAAAACTACATGCTTGTGGTAATTTGATGAAAGAAACATGAAAGTAACACATTTTGGAAGAATTACTTTTGAAAAAAAAAGTAACTTCCAAGGTCTTGGATTGTATTTTCTCACAGCCATGTCCACTTGTGACACAGCCATGTCCTTGTGACACAGACCAATCTCAAGACAAGCCCCCAGACTGGTTCACAAGCTACCTGGAGACGGTGAGTGTTCTCTGCAACTTGGGTTTCAGCAGCACTGTTGGCACAGGGAGAAAGCAGAGCTCAGAAGGCTGTGGCCTCTGCTGTAGGTGATTAAGTGTAGCAGCTGATGGTTTGGACACAGCAGATATGGCCAAGGAAGTTGTAGCTTTTGCCTGGGCATCATGAGAAGAGGAGGACTAGTTCCAAGCATGTGAGGAAGAGATGGGTCTCTGCTTGAGAACACAGTTAGAAACAGAATCACCCAAGGAAGAGACAGCTTAGCCATGAAAGGAAGAAACCTGTAATATTTCTGTTCATTGCTCTGGTAGCCATCTGCAATGTTCTTCTTAACTTATTCCAGAGAGAGGGACATTTCAGGTTTGCTGTTTCTTCTCACTTTTTCCAGTGCTCAAACTGAGTCCTCCCCACCCCACCACCCACCCCCACCTTCTGCTCTGCATTGTAGTTCAGAGAACAAGTGGTTAAGGAAACGGTGGAGAAGCTTGAACAGAGGTTGCAAGAGAAGCTTGTCCTCCAGAAGTCACCCTTGTGTTCCTCACCCTCAGAAGTTTCAATGCCTGTTTCAGAGGAAACACAGTTTGTACAAGAGAACCAGTTCAGCTGGCATATTGCTTGCAGCCAGTGCCAAAAAAGGATCATTGGTGTGCGTTACCAGTGTAGGTAAGCCATTCCTGGGCAGAGGAGTGACTGCCTACTATTTTGGGTACATGAAGGGAAGCTGGATGTCTTCTGTCTCCAAGCAGTAGGTGATGTGGCTTGGATTTGCGAGCACAAGGTGCTCCTCATTTATCTTTTTTGTGGGTTTTCTGGGAGCTATTCTGAGTGCTGTTCAGATACATATTTGGATTAACAGGATCAGGCAAAAGTAAGTTACCTCAATCAAAATTAGATCACTGAGGATAGACCCCTGCCTTCTTCAAAATGTTCTTGTATCTTCTTCCTGTAAACTATTTCATGGAAATAGGTATGATTAGGAGTTACTCCTCTCCTTTTACTAATGAAGAACATAGGCTCAACATGGCTAGTAATGGAGCAAATATAAAGTCTAATCTTGTTGTTGTACTTCAGGGACTTCCTGCTATGAAGGTTTTACTGTGTTCTTTTCACGCAGCCTGTGCCCATCCTACAACATCTGTGAAGACTGTGAAGCTGGACCATACGCTCATGATGATAACCATATCCTGCTAAAGTTGCGGAGACCTGTTTTGATTTCCTCTGAGCCATTTTCCCACTTAAAATATCCCACTCCTCGTCTTCCTGCTGCTCTTGAACAAGTCAGGTGCTCATCTGATTGGCTTCTTGATTCTGCTGACACAGCATGCTGATTGATGTTAAATATTTGATATAGGCTAGGTAGTGGTGGTGCACACCTTTAATCCCAGCACTCTATGAGTTGGAGGTCAGCCTCCTGGCCTACAGAGCGAGTTCCAGGACAGCCAGGACTATGCAGAGAATCCCTGTTTTTGGAAAAAAGAAAAAAAAAATACACATGAATTAAAAATAAATAAATCTTTACAAAAAAAAAAAATCAATGAGATTCCTAGCATTCTGGACCGTCCAGAGTTCTAAGCTGGACTGAACTACATAGTGAGACCATCTCAAAAGAAAAATACATTGATGTTATATGGTCTCCTTATATTGGTCTGTCAGTTGTCTGAGACTCGAGTGGGAATGATGACTATAAAAGAAGAAACTAGATGCTAACATTAATGGGTTTACTTAGCTCCAAATAGCCTCAAGATTTGTTTGTGTTTTAAGACATTCATTCATTATCCCACAGACTCCAGAAACAGGTGGATAAGAACTTTGTGAAAGCAGAAAAGCAAAGATTGCGTGCTGAGAAGAAACAGCGGAAAGCAGAGGTCAAAGAGCTTAAAAAGCAGCTTAAACTCCACAGGAAGATTCATTTGTGGAATTCGATCCATGGACTCCAGAGTCCCAGGTCCCCCTTGGGCCGACCTGAGAGCATGCTGCAGTCTAACACCCTTATGTAAGTCCTGGGCCAACTCTAAAAATGGAGCTTTAGCCATCTTTTGTCATAGCTGTTGTTTCCCAGCACCCACCCAGTTCAAGCTGGCTCAGGAGTTATTTCTGACACTCACTTTGATGCCTTATTCAGAAAGCTAGTAAGATTCAGAATGGGGGTGATGACTCAGACTTCTCTCAGAATGGGGGTGACATCTCAGACTTCTCTTGTCTGGAGGCCATGTGACTGGGTTGGAAGCAAAAGAAGCAAGTCTCCATTTGTATTTATGGACATGTTTAATTACCCCTTAAGGCTTCGTGTCTTTGTTTTATAGCCTGAAGAGATTCCTAGCACTGCCTTTTACACACACATAAGCACACACAGGATTTTTATTAGGCTTGGTTTTTATTATTTATTTTTGGTTTTTAGGGACAGGGTTTCTCTGTGTAATAGCCCTGGCTGTCCTAGAACTAGCTCTGTAGACCAGGCTGTCCTCAAACTCACAGAGATCAACCTGCCTCTGCCTCCCAAGTGCTAGGATTAAAGATGTGTGCCACAACCACCCTGCTGCTGTTGTATTTATTTGGGGGGGGGCATGCTATGTTATGCATGTTGAGGTCAAAGAACTTTGTGAAGTCAGTTCTCTTTTCTCTGACCTTTGTGCATTCTGGGGATTGAACAGAACTCCAGTCACTCATTAGGCTTGCATGGCAAGCACCTTTCCCTGCTGAGCCTTTGCTCAGGGCATAATTGGTGTATTTTTTAAGGCAAATGTATTAGTACATACTTAAAAAGCAGTCAGCCTCTTAAATCATAATGTGGCATGTTCAGATGCTATCATACCTGACAGCAAGTGACTAAGCATCTGGTTTCTGTCCAGGCTTCCTTTGCAACCCTGTGCCCCTGTTATGCCAACGCTTAGTGCAGCATTTGTGGATGAGAATTTGCCTGATGGGACTCATCTTCAGCCGGGAACCAAGTTCATCAAACACTGGAGGATGAAAAATACAGGAAATGTGAAATGGAGTACAGACACAAAGGTATTTTTTTCCTCACTAAATGTAAAGACAGTGATGTGTACAGTGCAGCAAGGGACACAGATGACAAGCTTCCTCTTGTTCTTTTCAGCTCAAGTTCATGTGGGGAAACTTGACATTGGCTTCTACAGAAATGAAGGATGTTTTGGTTCCCTGCTTGAAGGCTGGCCATGTGGGGGTTGTGTCTGTTGAGTTCATCGCTCCAACCTTAGAAGGAACATATACTTCGCATTGGCGTCTTTCCCACAAAGGCCAGCAGTTTGGGCCTCGGGTCTGGTGCAGTATCATAGTGGATCCTTTCCCCTCTTCTGAGAGCCTCGATAACATTCAAAGGGGCCTGGTGAGCTCAAGCAAAGCTGATGACTTCACCTGTGAGCAAGAGGTGAGCATGTACACTGTAGACTTTGCCCCAGAATACCACGTTACTTCCTCCTTCACTAGAAAGGTCAAGCTTGGTGACACATGCCTATTATATTCCATGCACTTGGGAGGCTGAGGCAAGTTTGAGGCTAACTCTTTCTAAGGTCTGACACAAACGGACACTGGGGACCTGAACCTTAAAGAACTCATTCATAGCTTGCTATTTCTCCAGATGTCCTAAAAATTTACTGTTTCTGAGTTTTCTATCACTGTGACAAAATACTTGAGATAATTAACTTAGAAAGAAAAAAAGGTTCATTTTGGTTCCATTTCAGAGGTTCAGGTCCATGATTAGGCAGATCTATTGCTTTAGGTCTCTAGTTGGCATATTAGACTGTACTGGCAGAAAGCATATGGCAGAGAGAGAAAGGGGGAAAATGCCACTCAGAGCCAGGAAGAAAAGAGAAAAAGGAGGAACCAGAGTCCAACATTTCCCTTTGAGCACATTCCCACAGTGACCTCAGCTAAGACTCCAACTTGTGCTATTGTCCAGTAATACCATGCCTCTGTGTGCATGGATTTTCAAGACAGGTTTCTCTTGTGTAGCCTTGGTTGCCCTGGAACTCAGAGATCCTCCTGCCTCTGCCTCCCAAGTGCTGAGATTAAAGGCCAATGCTGGATTAAAGTTGTGTACTACCACCACCCAGCTAAGGGGCCAAACTTTTCACACATGGGATTTTGGAGCTAGTCTTCCCTCCTGTACATTTTTGTGTTGGTGTTTGGCCCAGTCCACAGAGTGTTTAGTGTCCTTAGGGTATTGGTGCAGGCAGTCCCCGAGGTCTGTGTCTGTAATAGTGCTTGCTACACCAGGGAAAGAAGGGCTGCCTGGCCTTCCTGTGAACTCCTGCTAGCTTTTCTCCTTAACATTCATCTCCTAGAATATTCCTGTGTCTCTGTTCCCTTGTACTCTGACGACATCTTGACCTGCCTGTTACTTGCTGCTGTCTGCTGTTGCTTTTTTGTTAGTGGAGCAGACTCTACTGTTAGAATCTGGAACCTAAATATGCCCCAATTATTTGTCTCTATAGGAAGCTTTTCTTCTAGCTGAAGAAGAGGTTCCATTGAGTGAAGTGACAAAGCAGACAGAAGGAACAGGAACCAGTACCCCACAGAAGACACAGAGTGTCGCCAGTGAGAGAGAACTGTACATTCCATCTGTGGACCTTCTGACTGCCCAGGTAAACAGTCTGCACTTTGAGGGACAAGGGGGAGAAAGGAAATGAACACTGAGGAAAGAGTCCTGCTCACCTTTTTATTGAGGTGGCATAGCCATAGGTGGCTCTGGGAAGTTAAAGATGGGCAGGCTTGATCCAGTCAGCTTGATCGAGTATTTAATGGGAGTGAGATCATCTACGGAGCAAGTTTCTTGACTGTTTCCTCATGAGTTGGAAGCTCAGGCTTGTGCTTCCCCACAGCTTCCCTCTAGTGGCCTCTTCATATTAGCCTGCTTCATTTGCCTAGCCACTGTTTCCTCTCCTCCTGCCAGTTAGACATTTGAGAACACTGGTTCCCATTTAACTCTTTTCACTTGATGGAGGATGGGCATGCGTTGGAACAGAATTGAATCCCGACAATGTGCAGAAGGGCTGTAGGTCCAGTTGCAACAGAGCATGGCTCTCACTTGCACTGCAGACACTTTTATTTGGCCATCTCCTTTTCTAGGACCTGCTGTCCTTTGAGCTGCTGGATATAAACATTGTCCAAGAATTGGAGAGAGTGCCCCACAACACCCCTGTGGGTAAGCATGCCTTGGCTCATCTTTTTCAGGTAGTGGTGTTAGAGTCTGGGGCATTGGAGGGTGAGGAGCCCTCCCGTGTAATAGTGAAGCTGCACCCATGGTCCATCTCCTCCTTTCCCTATTGTCTGTCAGTGCCACAGTACAAGTGTGAACAGGACTTGACTATTGTAAAGGAACCCCATCTTCATTTTTCTCCCTTTGTTCCTTGTACCTTGGCTTTGGCCTGCTTAGCTATTTACTTGTGACCCAGCATTGATTGGTCAGAGCTGGTTGCTGGTGAAGTTCTTTATGACAGGTGGTGGAGCATGTTTGGGTTTATTTTAACCCCATAGGAAGCAAGAAACCTACAAACTGCTGCTTCTGGACACTTGACTGTTTATGATGTCATGCTTTCTCTCAGTTGATGGTTTTCCTGTCTTCATTCTCCAGATATGACTCCCTGCATGTCTCCTCTGCCACATGACAGTCCTTTAATAGAGAAGCCAGGCTTGGGGCAGATACAGGAAGAGAGTGAAGGGGCGGGATTTAAAGCACTTCCTGGTAAGGGGTTAAATGTCTGTAAAGCACTTGTACCTTCCCTTCCCATCCCATACCGATTTTCATACACCCATTCCTCATTAACTTTGCCTCAGCATGCAAACTGGTGGTCTACAGCATCTCTCGCTCTCTTTCTAAGTCTTCCCTCATGACAGCAAGAGCAGCTATTCATACCTCACCTAGGTTTAGTATGCAGTGACTGGTGAAAGCTCTCAACTCTTTTAACAGAGTAGCTGTGTGTGTCTTTCAGATTCCACCATATCAACAAAGAGGAAGGCCGAGGCCACTGCTTCAGTGGAAGAAACGGAGGAAGACCTGAGTGGGACCCAGTTTGTGTGTGAGACTGTAATCCGATCCCTTACCTTGGATGCTGCTCCAGACCACAACCCACCCTGTAGGCAGAGGTCCCCACAGAGTGAGTGTCCTACCAGCTAGCATGGTGGCCCCTGAATAACGAGAGGTGCTCTTCTTTGTTGAAAGGGGAGGGAAACTGATTTTTGTTGGAAACTCTGATCACATTAGCTTCTGACTATGCTGGCATTCTTAATAGAGCACTAGGATCAAAGAAGCCACCCTAACTCCTCTCTGCACTTCTCAGGGGAATTGCAGCTTCAGCCCACAGAGGAGCAGCCGCCAGTTGTGCTACCTGGATTCTGCAGAAAAGATTCTTCCTGTAAGTTGACAGCTCCTCAGAAGAAGCTCCCATTGGCAACTAAGTCATCTGCTTTCTCCCACGGGCAGTAATCTGAAAAATGTGGGATGACACAAGACTACCAAACTGCTTCCCAGGGTTAAATTCTACCATAAAAAATATCTTCATTGCAGTGGTGGTAGCACATGGCTTTGATCCCAGCATTCAGGAGGCAGAGACAGGCAGAACTCTCTTAGTGTGAGCCAGCCTGGTCTACAGAGCAAGTTCCAGAACAGCCACAGCTACACAAAGAAACCCTGTCTCAAAAAATAAACAAAATCACCTTCATGGGTTCTGGAGGTGGCAGTTGAGGATAGCTCAATCCCTAGCATCCACCTAAAAAACACTGGTGCTGTGGCAGACCCTGTCACAAAAAATAAGGCAGATGGATAGGCATTTTATTTTAGCACATGGGTTTAATCCCAATACTCGAGGTGCAGATGTAGACACATCTCATAGAGAAACACTCAAAAAAAGAAGAGGAGATGGCTTCTGGGAACTATACCCAGTATTCAATGTTGCAGAGTTTTCTTTCCTGCCAGGTTCCACAGCCGCCTCAGCCCCATATGAACACACACAGAGACTTATATTATTAAACTGTTAACCCATTTCTATTAATCTATGTATTTCTACATGGTCTTATCTTAAATGGAGAACCCCTGGTGCCTCCTGTCTTCCTGGTGTCACATGGCGTCTATCTCCACCTATGGTTCCCAGAGTTCTCCTCTTCTCCTAGCCCTGCCTATCTTCCTGCCTCTAGTAGCCAAAGTGTTTCATCAACCAATAAGAGAAACATATATACAGAAGGACATCCCCCATCAGTTGACCTCTTCTCTAGCCTCCATTCACAGTCCAGTTATCTGCTTGCACACTTACACACACACAAAATACCTTCACAACAGACTGCTAGTACCAAGTTAGTAGAGCCAGTACCTTATTTCTCAAAAACACCCAAAAATTCAGTTTCTGATGCATGATAATACCAAATTTGCAGGCTTAGGGAATGGCTCAGTGGGTAAGAGTCCTTGCTATGTAAGCAAGAGGACCTGAATTTGAGTCCACAGTACTCACCTAAAAGCTAAGCACAGCTCTTGTCAGCCTGTAACCCCAGTGTTAAGGGAACTGAGACAGGCAGATCCGGAGCTCATAGCCAGCCAGCCTAAACAAAATGCTAAATGAAAGATCCTGTCTCTAATAAGGTGGAAAGCAGTAAAGGAAGACACTTGCTGTCCTCCCCTGACCTACACACAAACATGCACGGGTATAATGCAGCATGCACTGTACATAAACAGAAAACATTGATCTATATATACCTTTAAACATAATTGTCCTATTTTGCTTAAAACGAGCAAATGAATATTTTTTTACACATATATACAAGTACCAGGAAGGTGTGGAAAGATAAACCAAATTGTTCCTAGGACAATAGGATCTTAGGACATCTTTCTACTCACCTCCGTGATTCTCCAGTGTTCTCTTCTGACTGTGCATCACTTTCTAAGGAGTAGGAAAGCGAGCATACAACCTGAAGGGCTTACGTGTGACGCCTTTTGTAGCCCTGATAGCTAGGTTACCAGTTGTGATAAAGCTTTATCTTGGTCTGTTAGCTGTCATAATGAAGAGGAAAGGGGCTATAAGACTCACAGTGCTCGCTCATAGGAAGCCTGGCTATTTCTGCCCACAGGCCTGTTTCTGTTGATTTCCATCCTGTTTGTTTTGGCATTATATTGAAACAGAATGCAGTTATGCCTCCAGCAGCAGCCCATTTCTCTGGTTCTTTCCCCTCTGGCTTTTCTGCTAGCTCATGACCCACAAGGCTTTGCCAAGTGAGTACAACATTGAGGTTTGCTGCTAAGCCTTTCCCTTCACAGTGGTTACTTTTGTTCCTTAGTGAAATTTGCCTTGCCTGAAGAAGGACCACTTGGAGATGAAAGGGAAGAGATTGTCCACATTGCTGAGGAAGACGAACTCCAAGATGAAGTTCAGAGTCAGTCTTCTGCTTCCTCTGAAGATTATATCATCATCCTGCCTGAGTGCTTTGATACCAGCCGCCCCCTGGGGGACTCCATGTACAGCTCTGCACTCTCACAGCCAGGCCTGGAGCGAGGGGCTGAAAGCGAACCTGGGATCGAGGCTGGGCAGGAGCCAACTGAGGCTGAAGAGAGACTCCCTGCAGGGGAGAGCCAGCCACAGGCACAGAGCATCAGTGACATCCTCACAACCTCACAGACTCTGGACACAGTGCCCCTAGTCCCTGAGGTGGTAGGACTTCCACCACCACTGTCCAGGTACTGCACAGTCCCCCTTGTCTGTACTATTCAGAGGTGAAATAACCAACTTAATCTCCAAACTTAGATGAATAAGTCATATTCATATCTCTCAGCATTTATGAATTTGGGATTTAAACATGTTTGTTTTAGTTGACCTTACTTTCATGAGCATATGTGTACTTATTTTTCTATAATTAAGAGAAAAATATTTAAACACAAACATTTCTTGATCTTCCCTGCATGTTTTGATTTTTGGTTTGAATGAAGGTGACAAAAATTACATGAGGCCTTGTCATTTAGCTCAGTGTTAAAGCATTTGCCTGGCAAGCAGGAGGGCCTGGGTTCAACAGAAAAGCCCTTACCCTCTATGTACTAACACCAAAAAATAGGATAATTAGGAAATTATATAAATTCCTTATGGATATATACCACAGACCTAGAGAGAAAGTATGTAAATCTCTATACTGGGCCACTGGTCTTAGTATAGAAACCATGGGAACCCTGACCAACATTTTAAATTACTCAGGAAAGTAAATTGCCCAACTATTAGCACCACCTGATGTGGGGGAAGTGTCCTGAGTGAAACCAGTTTTTCTAGCTCGATTGTGGCTAAAAAGGACGTAAGAATAGAATGCAGCCTTTCTGAGATCTGCAAACTCCCACATGACGGGGATCAGGAATGTAGAGCCTGCAGAGAATCTGGCACTGCTGACTGTTTTCCTACCACTGCCATGGCTGTTTTCAACTGACCGCCCTCCAATACTGTGTCTTTCTGAAGGAGCTCCCCTAGTGCACAGCACGGGTCCCCAGGAGTGGATTCACCAGTTACTACCCAAGAAGTTCCTTCAGTCCCTGATCAAATCAGAGGAGGTAATGACAAGTTTGATCTTCACCTCCCCTCCTTTCCTTCTTTCCACTGGAAACCAGATGTTAACAGGCTGTCATTTGTGATTCAGGGTCTTGTTTAGAAACTTGCCCTTTTCTCTCTCTGTGCTCCTCCTTCATGCTCTTTGTTTCTACTCTGGAGTATATATGGAGACTTTATAGAGATAGGTGCTGCACTGTGGTGGGAAGAGCGCAGCCTTAGAGGCAGGCCAGCCTAGGTGCCAGCTCCAGTTTTGCCTTTACTCACCTGAATGATGCAGCAGCTCCGCTAGTTTGTGATACTCGTGGTTCTGTTCACTTATTTGAACAATCGGGACAGTAGCACTGTGAAGTAGTAAGTAGGTCCTCAGTCACTTCTACTTCCTAAAAATGCCAAACCTAAAACCATTTGAGAACCAACATTCCAGTGTAATAGGATTGTAGAAGTTGCTTTTTATTCAATGAAGACACCTTGTATAGCATTTCTAGACAGTTACTTAGACCACCTACAGAACTTTCTGAAACTTAGTAAAGAAAAGGAAGAAGGAAAGACCAGACACCCTGTTAACTCTCCACCTGCCTCGATAATAGCTTTGTTGTGTTGGGAAACACTAGGTGCTTGTGGACGCCACATCTAACCAACAGCTCTTTTGCTTTTAGAGCCCAGAGGCTCCTCAGGACTGGTAAACAGCAGACAGAAGAGCTATGACCAGTCAAGGTAATGACCTTGTGAAGTCTCTTCAGAAGCAGGTGGATGTCCCTGCGCTGCTCCTGCTTAAATGAGCCTCTCAGAGCGTGTGCCATCTTCAGAGCACACCAGGAGAGCCCTCATTCCTTCTTGTTCTTACTTCTAAAGCTTTTGCTCAGCACTGGACAGAGAGCTAAAGCTAAAGTTTATATTTAAGCATTTTCACATTCCAGACAAGAAAGGACTGCCCTAAATTTACCTTACCTGTAGTGCCCAAGGAGACAGGAACCCCATATGCATTTTGGCCATTTTTTGTTAGATACAGCTGCCTTTCTGGTCCCTGTCAGATCAGTATCCAGAAAAATCACATTTACTTTGCCAGGTGTTTTCTCTGAGATGTACAGACAGATTGCTGATGTCCATGTGTGCCCATGACCATATTTTCAGCTGGGATGGAAAGCTGGTGTGGTAACAGGGTGTGTGTTCCTGCAGTGCTCATATCATTTGCCAACCAAGCCAGCCCTGCATCAAACCAGGATTTGTAGCCCTATAAACAGTTCATTATCTCCTTTTATATCTATTTTTTTTTCTCTTTAGGATACGTCATTTTCTTTTAGATTAGCACCCACATTATCTTGTAGCATCATGATTTTATTTGGGGAGATAATTTGGTTTTCCTCTGTAGGCACAACAATGGGAGCAGCATTGCTGGAGGACTGGTGAAGGGGGCTTTGTCTGTTGCTGCCTCTGCGTACAAGGCCCTATTTTCTGGGCCACCAGTCACTGCACAGGTCAGTGTGTGGTTTCTTTTCCTTAAATTCAGCCCCTAAGTCACCAGTATAAATGACAGTGTCTTTCTGTCTGGATTGGCAATTAACATGGCATGGGCTATATGTAGATTTAGTCTTTGATGAACATAGCCCTGCCATTTCCTATCTTTTTAATCGAGTTACTCTGGGGAGAAAAGGAAAAGAACCTAAGACTTGTTGAAGACCTACTACGTGTTCAGAGTTAGATATACAGGTGCTACTGGATGCATATACACAAATTCCTGTCAAATATGCACATTGGCAAAGCATGCACATTTCAAGTACAGGGTAGGATACTGTGCCAGTGCAGTCTAACAGATGGAGCATCTCCACCCACTGGGACAGGTTTCCTGGAAGTTAATATCTCAACTGAGGCCTAAAGGACAAAGCTAGTGTTCCTCCGGGAAAGAATTTTTTTTTAAGATTTATTTATTTAATACATATGTAATATTTGATCTACATGTATGCCCACACCAGAAGAGGGCACCAGACCTCATTATAGATGGTTGTGAGCCACCATGTGGTTGCTGGGAATTGAACTCAGGACCTCTGGAAGAAGAGCCAGTGCTCTTAAACCCTGAGCCATATCTCCAGCCCAAAATATTTTAATGTTGGAAGTGGTAGCCCTCACCTGTAACCCCAGCTACTGAGGAGGCAGAAAGATTCTAAGTTCAAAGCCAGTCTGGGCTACATAGTGAAACCTTTTCTTAAAATAAAATTTTAAAAGGGATACAGATGTAGTTTAATAATGATAGAACTCTTGCTTAATACCCTAGGTTCAGTCCCAGGTCTTATCCTCTTTGAAAAATAAAATAGCTAGCTAGCAAGAGCTGGAGGAGAGTGGGTGGTGACTCAGACCTGGAGAGAAGAGAAAGGAGAGAAAAGGCAAGCTTAAGTTCTGGGTTTTATTGTAAGGCATAGAAAGGTTTTTTTGTTGTGTTGTTTTGGGTGGGTTGTTTGTTGTTTGTTTTAGTTTTGGAACAGAGTCTCTCTTCATAGAGAGAGACTGTCCTGGAAATGACTGTGTAGACCAAGCTGTCCTTGAACCCAGAGATCCACCTGCCTCTGAGTGCTAGGACTTAAAGCACGTGGTACCACACCCCAAGGGACAGATTTTAAGGGTGTGATTTAATGTGATCACATCTGTTCTTAGTGAGGTCACTCTTGTACAGTACAGAGGTATAGAACCAGTAAAGAAATCCACAGGAAAATCCACATATAGGTGGAAATTAAGGGTATAGAAAATAACAAAAGAAAATGTCATGACTTGTCAGTGATTAAGTGCTTAAAAAGAAGTCAAGAGTGAATCTCAACCTTAGGTACTCAGGACTATCATGCATTGCAAGAAGAAAGGGCCAGTAGATCACTCAGTGAGTAAAGGTGCTTGCTGCCAAGCCTTGAGAACTTGAGTTCCAGTCCCTGGGACCTACACCATGGAAGGAGACAACTGACTCTGTCCACACGAGCACCACACATACAAACACAATAAAGTACATAGTGGCCCCTGCCTCAGTGAAAAACGTATTGTTTTTCACTACCTATTGGGTAGGAGTATATCTAGTGGGATTTGCTTAGTGTTTAAAAGTAAAGCCACCCATTGTGCAGTTGGATGTATGCATCTCCCTCACACAGAGATCTGACCTATGGCTGAAGTTTGACAGTCATTTGCATACAGGTTCCAGCAGGAGCTCTGTGGTTTGGATGGGATTATCCAGGAAGAAGTGTCAAAGGCAGAAGTAGCCTCTAAGAATCAAAGCAACAGAACTCTACAAAAACAAAACTTAGCTGGGCAGTGGTGGCACACACCTTTGATCCCAGCACACAGGAGGCAGAGGCAGGCAGATCTCTATGAGTTCAAGGCTAGACTGGTCTAAAGAGTGAGTTACAGGACAGTCAGGACTGTTTCACAGAGAAACACTGTCTCAAAAAAACAAAAGTGAAGCAAGCTTGTTTCTAATTTGAACTAATAAAAAAAATTACAAAAAAAAATCCAAAAAACTCAGAGGGAAACAGGGCCACTGCTGGGATTTGGGGAGGTTCATAAAGAGACCGTAGGCAGTGCTAAATGCTGCAGAGAGCTGTGGCCTCGTGGTGAGGAATTTGACAGTTCAAATGTGCCTCACTTTCTAGTGTCTGGCTACATGGGGGAAGATAAATACTAGCCGGCACAAAGCAGAGGAAGTGTTTATAAGAGAGACTGAGGTGTAAAGTAAAAAGAAAAGATGTAGCCCATGACCTAGGGTGAGATACCTTGCCCAGCCTGATTGAGGGGGGAGGGCCTTGGTGTTGCCTCAACTTGGTATCCCAGACTTTGGTGATTCCCCAGTGAAGGCCTTATCCCCTCTGAGGAGTGGATGGGCAGAGGTGGGGAAGTGGGAAGGGAGGAGACTGGGGTTGGAATATAAAATGAAAAAGAAAATTAGGCTTTTTTTCTTTAAATTTAACTTTTTTTATTAATTTATTTTTTACATTCCAAACCCAGTTCCCCCTCCCTACTCTCCTCTGCTCCCCTGACCTCACTTCCCATCTGCTCCTCAGAAAATCAATTTTAATAAGTAAAAAAAAAACCAAAAACTCCAGGCTGTGGTGGCATAGGCCTTTAATCCCAGCACTTGGGAGGCAGAAATGGGCACATCTTTCCAAGTTCGAAACCAGCCTCATCTACAAAGCTACTTCTAGGACGGCCAGGGCTACACAGAGAAACCCTGTCTTGAAAAAAACAACAACCAAAAAATACATCATTCAAAAAAAAAAAAAAAGGAAAAGTATAAGTAGATTAAGCCTGTTAAGGATGACAGACTGTTCCAAAATAAGCAGAGAGAGGGACTAGGGTTTATAGCTCAGTGGCAAAGCATATGTCAGGCAGGGGCAGTATCTCTGAGTTTAAGAACAGCCTGGTCTACATAGGGAGTTCCAGGATAACCAGGGCTACACAGAGAAACCCTGTCTCAAAATGGGGAGGGCTGAAGTTTCTGTAAATGGGTGTTAGCTTCCTCTTACTGAGATCACTTCTATTTTGAGGGTAAAAAGACTGCCTGGGATATAGTTTCCCAATTCTATACCCATCTTGCATAGCCACACCATCTTCAGTTTATCGCTCTTGCTTGTATTTTCCCCACCACTATAGGCTTCTTTTCATCTTGCAATTCAATTTTTGCTTGGCTGAAGAATGGGTGATTTTTTTTTTGTTTGTTTGTTTGGGGTTTTAGAGACAAGGGCTCACTCTTCAAAGCCCAGTCTAGCCCCAAACTTGTGATGTTCCTCCAAGCTGGAATCTCAGGTGTGAGCCACCATGTCTAGACATGCTGCTTTCAGAAAGTCCTCTGAAATATTCCTCTTCTCTGTCCCTGTCTCCTTCAGCTGTGCACAGGCCTAACCAGAGCACTCTTGTTAGGGAGACAGAAAGCTGTACCCTTGCATCTAATTACCTAACATTTTGAATAAGTCAGGAAAGACTGGGATGACAATAAAATAAAGATTTGCAAGATAAGCCATTAGATTACACAGAAAATGTCTACTTCTTGTCTTTGCACAGCCCATTGTTTCTGAAGATCAGACAGCAGCCCTGATGGCCCATCTCTTTGAAATGGGATTCTGCGACAGGCAGCTGAATCTAAGGCTGCTGAGAAAACACAATTACAATATCCTCCAGGTTGTGACAGAGCTCCTTCACATCAACAACAACGACTGGTACAGCCACCGCTACTGAGGACTGATTTGTATTAAATAACTGCCTGCTGCTCAGAGATGACCTTTATTCTGTCATTGAGGTGTGGGTGGAAGCCCTTGCTTGTTTTTTAATCTGATGAATCTATATCGAGGTCACTGAATTGTCAAAACAATATCTGTTACAGTATTTTTTGGAACAAATCAAAGACCAGAACTTAAATTCTCATTTTTGAAATGGGATGAGTAGTAGAAACAGTTTTCAGCTGATGTGGACAGAATTCCCTCCACTGCAGTCTGTAGAAGTGGGCAACTTGGACTCCCGGAGACTACTTTTCCTGAAGTTGAGTGTTTTCCTTTGTTCCATGTGGTTGTTTTTAATGGGCTGTTAAATGTTAGTTTGGTTTTTGTTTATTAACCTTGAACATTTTCAAGAATTACTCTAATTTCTATAACCAACTCCAAGCTTCATAGCTACATGACCTTAAAGGACAGCAGATCAAGAAAGTCATTTCCCTGTAAGGCTTAGTAAATAAGTAACTCTTTGCTTTCAGAAGACCCCAGTGGTACAGTTGAGTGTCTACCTGGCAGGTACCTCTTGGGACAAAAGGGCAGGGTGTGCTAGTTAGCCCACCAGCACCCATTGAGCAGTGTTTGTGGAAGTAATTTTGCATAAAGTTTTAAGGAGAAATCCTAGGTAGTGTGAAAATTTCACTAATCTCATTGAGAAGGGAAAAACCCACCTGTTACATAAAGGGAAGGAAGTCATCTTTTTTGTGACTGTCAGAGCAGATCTTAAGGAGAGCAGATACGTGCAAACATTCTTCTGCATATGGTTTTGGTGTGGTGAAGGGGACAAGAAAACGCTGGTAACTTGGAACTGTAACCCGATTCTGAGGGGTCCAGCCCTAGAGTTAAGAACAGGACGTAGTGGATAGGGGCTAACCCGCCAAAAGGTTAGTTTAGGATAAATGGGAAGAAGCTTGCTTCTAGAATTCTAAGTCTCATTTAGTTTATAAAAAAGAACTTTGGGTACAGGTGGTGAAAGAAGAGGTGTAACAAAACACTAAAGATTTTGTTCATGATAAAGACTTTCAAAGAAGGAATCTGGACCCCAGCTCAAAGGGGAAAGATAGTTAAAATAGCATTATTTAACTTAGTTGGTATTTATAATAAATGGCGATTTTAATTACTCATAATCTGTTTATTTACAGTCTAATTCTTGAATGCTTCTAAATAAACCACAATTCAAACTGCAAGCCAATCAGGCTGTTTATTATTTAAAACCTTTTCGTGGGGTTTGGGGTAGAAGCGGAGCCGTATGGTGTGGGTGATGGGGTGGATTTGGAGTCGGGCCTACCTTGACCATCTGGAACCAGTCTTCATTCCATTGTACTTGTAAATAGCCACTTAAAGAATTGTGAATAAATGTTCTTTGAAACGCTTACCTGGCCTAGTTGGTCCTTGCAGCATTTGTCCTCCCCTTGAGACTCCCGAAGGCGGAAGCGTCTTCCTGCGGCGGGCGCTCAGGGGGAGAGGGCGGGGCCGGGGGCGGGGCCAATGCTGGCTCCGACTCCAAGTTTGCGATAAACTCACAGCTCTGCAGTTTCGATTATGCTGAAGGCGTCGTCACCTTGGGGTAAGGCACTCCAGGGACCCCCTCTGCCCCTCCCTTTCCTTTACAAAGCCGGATCCCAGAGACGTTTGGTCTTTCTCAGCGCCCAACGCACAGTGCCCAAATTCGAATAACGGCCAGTGTGGTGGGATTTAAAATCCTCAATGAAGTCCTATCTTTTCCTTCCTTGTCCACCTGATGGCCCTTGACAAAGTGCCCTAGAGAGGGAAGCCAATGATTGTATCCTGGAAGCCAATGATTCCTGCTTCCTGCTTGGCGCACATTCGCTCTCTCAGGTCTCCGGTGAAGGGAGCTGATCGCCCTGCCCTGGAGGCCATCCCACCCCACCCTAGAAGCCCTTCGTCCCAAAGGAACATTCCAGAAAACCCAATCTTGCAGCTGAGAAGAGGCTGGACTCATAGACCTAAACCAGGTGAGTCATTATTTTAGCCCAGGAAGATGTGAGTGTGTCTTAAGGAGCTGTTTCATTCCAGCCACTACTGGGGCTTTTGGGGAAAGTTCAGATTTAGCCCTGACCTTTCCTAATCAAGAACAGACTCAAATGTGACTGTGTTCCCCAGAAAGCAGTGAAGAACAGATTTAGGCTCCCTCCCAATCCCGTTTCAAATGGCTTCTTAGCCCCAGCCCTGTTCTCTCACATAAGAAGCCGTGATTTTCTATGCTAGCCAGACTCCAGACTGGAAGCCTGCCTTCTACTAGCTCACAAGCTAACTAAAGGCATTTCTGCCCTTGCGCTCTTGGATTTCTAAAGAGTAATCACTTGATTAGGGAGGACAAAGGGACCCTGCCACTGCCCTACTCCCTGCTCCCAGTCCTACCCAGCTTTCCTTTCTTTGAAGTAAGTGATAGTTCAGCTTTTCCTGGAAATAATACTTATGGAAGTCCCTTAAAGTGAAGTAACTTCTGCTTTTCTTTGATTTTCTCTGATTTGAACTTTCATTTAAAAAAAAAAAAAACCAAGGCACCGCCCAAATCTCTTGTCTAAGCTAAGCCAATCTTGAAAACTTAATACTAGAATTATATCTGGCATCATTGCTAATGGGATAATAGCAATGAACCTTGTTTTATTTTTCATTAGTGAAAAATCCTGCTGAGCTATGGGCAAGGCATTCTCCCAGGTAACCTCTCAACAGGATGAGGGCAAGTCAATCCTATCTGCTAACCCAGCCCTTTCGAGCAAGCCTGCCAACTACTTGAGCACCGGTAACAGCAAGCCACCGTGCTCTGGTGTGCTTTATGCAAGAGCTGCTGGCGCCGGCTTTGTGATTTGTCCTACCTGCCAAGGCAATGGGGAGATCCCCCGAGGTAAGTAGCCCAAGGCTCTAGAAATACCCTAGAAACCAGGGTATTCCTGCATCTCCTGGAGTAGGTGGCCAGGTCAGTTCATGCCCTCTTAGACTGGCCAAGGAGAAATAGTTCTGTTCCCTGGAGGAAAGTTTCTTGTCTCTCTGTTTCTCATGCAATACTGTGTCTTAGGATTGGGGGAGTTAAAAATGACCTCTCCAAAGGAGTAATGGAAATCACATTCCTTTTCTAATTGAAAGGTGACTTGCCAACTTCACCCCTGTGTTCTCAATCCTGCTGTGGGATAGAGGCAACAGGCTTCTGGCCCTGCTAGATGGAATGGAGGGATGTCTGGGGAAGGCTAGCATGGGACATTTCTTGATCACCCTCTTTCCCCCTGCAGAGCAAGAGAAACAGCTGGTAGCCCTCATCCCTTATGGAGACCGAAGGCTAAAGCCCCCACACACGTAAGTGTCCTTACCTACCTCTTCTGTTTTGATTTCCTGATTTCCCCCCAACCCATTGGTTTTCATCCAGAAAGTCCAAGTCGCACTGTGATTAAACTTATACGACCTTTGAATTTCCAAGGCTTGTCCTTAAGAATGATAGTGTCAGCAGCTGGGGTTGTAACTCACTGATAGTATGTTTGCTTAGCTAGCATGAGGTGCTGGGCTTGATCTCTAGCAAAAAAAAAAAAGGGGGGGGTGAATAAATGTCGTTTTTCTACTGACCCTTGATTCACATTATAGACAATATATATTGGAATATCATACCCCATAAATATGGACACTTGCATGTCAGTCAAAATAGAACAACAACAACAACAAAAAGGGCCGCATAGATCATAGTGGATATCAGCTGAGGCCATTTCATGGCTGTGGAAACCCTTCCAGGAGGGAACAAATTGCCCTGGTTGCAGCTGCCTTTAGATCTGTGCTCTTCCCAATAGAGATAGAAAACCAGCTGCTCACCTGGTGGTGGTGGCACACGCCTTTAGTGCCTGCACTCGGGAGGTGGAGACAGGCAGATCTCTGAGTTCAAGACCAGACTGGTCTACAAGAGCTAGTTCCGCTAGTTCCAGGACAGCTTCCAAAGCCACAGAGAAACCCTGTCTCGAAAAAACAAACAAAAAACCCAGAAACCATCCCAGGAGATGGTTCAGCAGGTAGAGGTATGGGTGCCACCCAGCCTGATGACCTGAGTTCAAACTCCAGAACCACATGTAGGCGCTTAAGTGACTCCCACTTAAGTTGCCCTCTGGCCTCCATGCTATAGCACACACATACAAAATAGATAAATGTAATAAGACTAGAAACAACCAGTGTCCCTCAAAATACTAGGTTCTTTCTCTTTAATTCATATCTCAGATTGAATTATATGGGTAGATAGTATCCTGTTCTAAGTACTGCGTTTAATTAAATATTAAAATTCAGAACTCTCAGAGAGTCACATAGACTGGTTTCTAGTAGTGATAGTAACATTCATTGAGGTGTTGCTGTCTGCCAGGAACTGTGATTATTTTTCTTCCTCTGTTAACTCAGGAAATTCTGTGAAATAAATCTAATTATCCCTATTTACAGACATACTGGGCTTTTGAAGAGGTTAATTGGGTCAATAGGGACAGAGATGTGGGTATGGAAGCCATGTTGACTGCCTTCCAATCCTGAGCTAAACCACAGCTAGACAGTTAAGTGTGCAGTTGCCAGACTGTGCACAAGAGGAAGCCACCTGTCTGGAGGCGGGGGTCTGAATCCCCTCCTCGGATTTCCTTGGTGTTCTCAGACTTCTCTCCTCCATCCTGGGACCTGTTCTCACACAGGAAGCTCTCAGTGTTCCTGGCCGTGATCATCTGCCTAGTGACTTTCACCCTCACCATCTTTTTCCTGTATCCACGATCCATTGCTGTGTATCCTATAGGCCTCAACTCCTCCATGGTGACCTTTGATGAAACTCATATACGACTCAGCATGACGGTAGGTGGTAGGTGCTCCTGGTTTCACCCCTACCTTCTCCAGAACGCTTCCATCTTCTTTGTAGCCAAAGATGCAGGTACCAAGGATCTTGTTTTCTACAAAAGGGTGCTGAGAGGCAACATGAGCTCTGTGGTAGACTGTGTGTGACTGGGGCTCTGCATAGTGAAGTGTTAGAATCTGGGCCAGGTCAGTCATAGGATGGAATAGAGATGTCAGAACAGAATGGAGAGAAACTGAGCAGGATAAAACTGGATCCTCAGTTAGCAAACTCTGATTGATTGATGGGTTTTCACTATTGCCTCTGCCTCCTAAGTACTGGAATTAAAGGTGTGCACCACCAATGCCCAGCAGAATATTATTTTTAAGATATGTTATATTTGTTTGTGCTGTGGAACATTTGTTTTAATGATGCAAAGATGTGTTGCATTCTTTTATGTTGTATTTGTTTAACTCTGTAGAGCTGTGTTACTTTGCCTGTCTAAAACACCCGAATGGTCTAATAAAATGCTGAATGTGAGCTGAATGGCTCACACGTTTAATCCTAGCACTTGGGAGGCAGAGGCAGGAGGATCTCTGAGTTCGAGGCTAGCCTGGTCTACAAGAGCTAGTTCTAGATAGCCAGAGCTGTTACACAGAGAAACGGTGTCTCAAGAAAAAAAAAAAAAAAAAAGAGCTGAATGGGTAATAGGGTGGCAGGAGAAAGGATAGGTGGGTGGGCCTGGCAGGCAGAGAGAATAAAAAGGAGAAATCTGGGAAGAAAAGATTGCGGAGCAAGGAGGAGGAAGAGGAAGACATGAGTGGTCAGCCACCTGGCATTCATAAGAAAGAGTAAGAGTCTGTGATTTATTTAGGAGCTGGGTGGCCAGACCCCCAAAAGAGCCAAGGAGTAAAAACAAAGGGTACACCATAGAACCCAGCTCACTGTTAATCCTAAAGGGGACCTTTGCCATTCAGAGCCTTCAGAGTCACTAATACTCGTCTTTTGTACTCTTTTTTTTTTTTGAGGCCCGGCAGGGTAGTATGGGCGTCAGGCCAAAGAGCCAGCTGTCTGTGTTCACCGCCTGGAAGGAGAGCCACCCTCACCGTTTCCTTTCCTTGCCGCCCTCTGCAGAACATCTTGAACATCTCCAACAGCAACTTCTACCCCATCACGGTGACAAGACTGACTGCAGAGGTTCTCCACCAGACCTCTGTGGTAGGCCAGGTGACCAGCAGCCTCCGCCTGCACATCCGTCCTTTGGCTAGTGAACAGGTAACTTCCCTCCTCCCCGGCAGCCCTGCCCACAGGTGTGTGGATGTATGCAGAAGTGGAAAGGGGAAGCCCGGGGTGTGGCTAACCTTTTGCTCCTTTGGTCAACAGATGCCTTACAAAGTTGCCAGCAGTATTCTGGATGAAAACACATAGTAAGTACCCTTTGATCTCTTCTCTCCTACCCTCTTCCTTGGCTTAAAAGCCCAGTTAATATTCACTAGGTGTTTTTTGTTTTTGTTTTTCAAGACAGGGTTTCTCTGTGTAGCCCTGGCCCGTCGTAGAACTCACTCTGGAGACCAGGCTAGCCTCCAACTGGTAGAGATCTGCCTGCCTCTGCCTCTGGAGTGCTGGGATTAAAGGCGTGCGCCACCAATATCTGGCAACTAAATATATTTTTAAATTTTAAAATATCTACTTGGCACCTTGCGATGGTGGCATGTCCCTTTAATCCCAGCACTCGGGAGCCAGAGGGAGCTGGATCTCTATGAGCTGGAGGCCAGCCTGGTCTACAGCCAGGACTACACAGAGAGACCCAGTCTCGAAAAAAACAACAAAAAATTCCACTCAGTTTTCTAATTGCTTCAGACTCAGGAGCCTGCATTTGGCCTGCCCTCTTGTGGCTAGGACTGCAATATGCCAGGGTAAAAGTCCAGCACCTCTTCCTGTTGGACCTTAATTAGAATAACAGGTAGAATTTTGTTAATCTTTATGTGAGTTGGACTCTGAATCTCTGTGGAAGAATATCTAGTTTTGTGCTGAGGGAGAGGTCAGCGTGTGCCTGGGCCAAGAATATGGATGGGCAGGTGGCCAGGCTCATTTTAGAGGATAAGGCATCTTGAGAGAGGCATCTTGGAGACCCCGGATGGGAGACAAGCAATCTGTGTGAGTCTCCTCTTTGAGTTTCCTGACCATCTGTAAAACAAGACTCACTGTTCTCTCTTTTTCTCTCTCCCTCTCTGTCTCTCTCAGCAAAATCTGTGCGCAGCTGAAAGTCAAAGTCCACCATATTCTTCTGCATATCCAGTGAGTATGGCGTGGATTCCTGTGTGCCCACTCCCACTCCAATCTCGCATCAGTTGCATTTCATGAGCTAGAGAGTCATGGTAGCTCACATCATGAGTTTTTGTTAGCTCCAGAGAATAGCAAGACTAAGGCCTGTTACAAATCTTACCTTGCTTATGAGCCCTGTCTGGAGCTTTCAGAGCACAGTTGTGGAAGTTGTCCCAGTGTCCTGGCAGAGCAGAGAGCAGAAGGAAGTGGGAGGGAGGTCCTGGGGAGCTAGCCTCTCGCGAGCATACACAGTAGAGCCAGGCCAAAGCTGTTCTGTCCTCTCCAGGGGTACTCTGACCTGCTCCTACCTGAGCCATCCACAGCAGCTGCCCTTCGAGAGCTTTGAATATGTGGACTGCAAGGAAAACATGTCAATGCCCCACCTGGAGATCCCTCGCCCAGCCTGACCTGTCTGCTGCCCCTGTACTCCAGACGCCTGCAGGCTGGTCGGCATCCCAACCCCATGAAGCTCAAGGAAGGACTAGGGACTTTGCTGAAGAAAACAGAAACATCTAGTTCTGTTGTGCCTTCCCCTGACACCCTCAGCACAAGGAACTTCTTTAACAATGCCATAGGCACCGACTCCTCAGATGTCCACGGGTCACTTCTGATGAGTCTTACTCAAACATCTGACCTGGCATTATCTTGGGGCTGATCACGTTGCTTCCCTGGCTCTACCCGGGTGGGTTTTCAGTTGGAATGGAGAGAAAGCTATAGTTTTATTTAGATTTTTTTGCTATAGTTTTATTTAGATTTTTTTAACAGCACAGGTGGATCCTCCTAGTAACAAGTAGCTTAGAGGACATCCAGTGCTGTCTCCAAGGTCTTTTTAGATGTTCTCTTGTGCTGTCTGCTTTGGGCATGTGATAGTGTTGGTGATGGTCTAAACCTCTTCTAAACCATCTAAACCTCTTCTCTGTAGAACATCTTCCATGTCATAGCAGAAGTTAAGGTGAGGAGAAGCCATCTGGTCTACCCTAGACCAAAGGCAGAATCAAAAGTATTTATTAAAGGAAGGTTTCAAGCCCATGGGAGTGGACACAGGTAGGTCAGACAATAGAGGAGGCCCAGTGACTGTTCAGAGAACCCATGGGTTCTCTGCATCAGGCCCACCCTCTGTTCCCAAGGTCTCTGCTGTCCTCTAGGCCTTGACTGAAGAGTAACAGATTCACCAGAACTGGACTAGATCTTCCCTTGCCTGTCACTGCACTGGAACCAAACCCCAAGTGACTCCCAGTTTCACACCAGACTTCAAATAGAAGTGATATTGGTATTGCAAGAGAGCTGGGATGTTGTTTACTAAAGCTAACTAACCTTTTCCCTTCATACAGGTGGAAGGGTGAACACAGTTGGTGTGGTGGGGAAAGCTGAAGAAGTGAGATGGATGCAATAACATCCATGGATGGTAACAGAATTCTATAACTAGCTGGGGCTAAGAGGAGGGAGAGAAAGTCTATCGTCACCAAGCTTTCCTTCCGAGGTAGGCAGGGTTAAGGTATACTAACAAAACGCACCCAGGGAGGTCACACTGACATTGTGGTGTACAAACCACCAGATGTAAAAGATTTTTTTTTTTTATCAATAAACTCTATTTAGCAGTGTTGAAGGAAAAAGAGGGTTCCTGGGCAGAAGAATGAGGGTGTTGGTGTACACTCCACATCTCACAAACCATTTCATTTTGCATGTGCGTGCATGTGGCGGTCAGAGCACAGCCTTGGGTGTCCTTCCTTGGGTACTATCTATTTTTGTTTCTTAATGTGTTTTATTTAGAGACAGGGTCTCACTGTGGAGCCCTGACTGTCCTGGAACTTGCTGTGTAGACCAGGCTGGCCTTAAACTCACAGATGAGCCTGCCTCTGCCTCTCCAAGGGCTAGAATTAAAGATGTATGCCACCATGTCAGCCACTATCCTTTTTTGGTTTTTTAAGATGGTTTCTCAGTAGCCCTGGCTGTCCTGGAATTTACTCTGTAGACCAGGCTGGCCTCGAACTCACGGAGATTCACCTACCTCTGCCTCCCAGATGCTGGGATTAAAGGTTTGCACCACCACCGCCCAGCTGTCAAGCACTATCCTTAAAATAAAAAAAAAAATGATAATAAAATAAAAAATCAAGTCCCAGGGATTTGATTTTTTGATCCAGCACTGAGATTACAAGCATGAGCCAGCATGCCCAGCTTTTCTTACATTGGCTCTGAGAATTAAATTAAGACCTTTGTCCTTGCAAGATGAGAAAACTTTACCAACTGTGCTGCCTTCCCAGGCTTCAAAGTCTTGTGTTCTGATAGGCATGTAGGCTTCCAAGACCTTCTGAAACATGTTCTGCTTCTCTGGCTTCTGAGAGATTATCCCTGGAGGCTTGCACTTTTCTTCTACTATGTATTCCTAACTATCTTTGAACTTTTAATGTTCCTGTTCCAAGCCAGTTCCCATACTGGCCCAGTTGTCCCACTCAGTGATCATCCCTAGACTACAGTAAGACAGGGTTCCTGACCCCAAAGGTGATGCTCCATGGACTAATGTCAAATGACCCATTGGTCCCCAGTTGTGACTGACATGACTGAGGGAGATTCTCAGAATTGGAGCAGAAGGGACTTGGGACTTAATAGGACTTGAGTGTTCCTGGAGGCTGATATTGAGGGTCCCCAGTCCTGCCTCCTCTTCCAGCTTGGGCTGGTAAAGAAGGGACACGTGGAGTTTTGGGAATCTCCTGGCCCACTGCTGAGTGGAAAGAATGACACCCTGAAGACTTCAGCAGGCAAGCTCCTTGGACCTTTCAGAGGTCACATGTCCTGATCCCAGTGCTACAGTACCCCTTTTCTTCTGAATTCTCTCTCTGCCCCCCCCCATCACCCTTTTTAACAGCTCAGTACCTAGTATGGGTCCAGAATTTTATAAGGCTTAGACATCCCTACCTGCCCCGCCCCTTCTGCAGCTGTAGTGCATTGCAGCCCCTCCCTTCTCAGGCTGTATCTCAGTAAGCATGGACTTGATTCTAATGATGTCACTACGAAACTGAGACGTCTGTCATCAAAGGATAAGGAACAGTGGTAATAGTTGTAGGAGGTGCAAGCTTGGGGTGGGGGGTAGGGCTCAAGACCATGTTCTCCTTTGGCTGGGCCTCCAACAGTATGGACTCTTGGCTTCTGCCCTTCTCCATCCACCACCTCCAATTGCAGGTCCTTCTGCCCTCCTGCCTTGTCCCGTGCTCATTAAGCTGACCAGCCTCCTGGTTCTTTCCAGGAATCACACTTTAATCTCAACTAGCTAGTTCAACTAGTGGAAAAGTTGCAGGGTGGAAGAAAAGTGTGGTTGCTGTCTGGTTTTGTTGTTTAGGTTTGTTTTTTGTTTTTTGGTTTTTTTTTTTTTTTGGTCGCTTTTGTTTTTGCTTTGTGGTATCATCGGGTCTTGGAGTCCATCTCTGGATCACCACTGCTGGATGTAATTAGTCGACTAAAAAGAGGGGGAGACAGGAAGCAAAACAAGTTAGTTGTCTCCGGGAATACTGCTTTCAGAATATTGTGTTAAGTCTCTGAGGCCAGTGGATTCCAAGTGAGATAAGACAGAGCAGCTGTTCCTCACCTGCACACGTGACCTCCCCCTCGATGCCTGTACCCTACTCCTGCCATTTATACTATGATTAGGAGTTACAAGCTGGTAGTCTGGCCTGGTGGCTCAAGCCTGTAATCTCAGCTACTTGGGAAGACGAAGTGGGAAGATCATAAGTTCAAGGCTTGCCTGGGGTACAGAGGGACTTCAAAGTGTACCTGGGAAACTTAACAAGACCCTGTTCTCAAAAAAAAAAAAAAAAAAAAAAAAAGAAAGAAAGAAAGAAAAAGGAAAGGAGGCTTGAGAGAGAGCTGTAGAAGTGCTTGCTGAAGCTGGGCTGTGATGGCGCATGCCTTTAGTCCCAGCACTCTGGAGGCAGAGGCAGGGGGATCTCTTGAATTCAGGACAGCCAGGGCTACACAGAGAAATCTTGTCTTGGAAAAGAAAAAAAAAAGTGCTTGCTGATTTTGGAGGGGATTAAAGTTCTGTTCCCAGCACCCACGGCAGCTTACAACCACCTGTGACTCCAGCTCCAGGGGATCCATTGCTGTCTCCCTGCAGCCTTAGACACTCACACATGTGCGATACACATAAGAAGTCCCCCTCCCCCCTTTAAGTTAAAAAAATGAAAAGAAGGTGCAACAGAGCAGAGTAGAGTAAAGCAGTCAGGGGCAGACCACTCCACTGGCATGCACAAGGCCCTAGGTTCAATCCCTGGTACCCCCCAAATAATTTCAGAACAAAACCCAGAGGTGACTTTGAAATGGTTCCAGTCCTCTCCCTGGACCCCTGCTAAGAAATCCTCCTTAGCCTTCACAGGCACACAAGGACGTGCACTCAGCCAGAGCCCCTTTGCCTCTCACCGTGAGTCGGGAATATTTAGAAGAGCTAGCCTTGCATGCTTTCGTGATACCTGATAAGACAAAGCACAAGTCACTCATCTGGCAGTTGTTAAGGAGGCTGGGGGTGGGAGCAGGCTTTTCCTGGTGCAAGACACAGACTGAACCCATACAGAGGAAGGATCCCCTTGAGGAAGCCATTCTGGTTCCACACTTTACAGGGCTCAGTTTTATCTGCTGATAGCCTACAATTCACACCATACCCTTCGACCATCCCCACCTTCTCTGTTGTACCCTAGAAAAGAGGCCGTCACCTTCCCAGTCACTCTATCCAGAAGCCTCTTCTGCCCTAGGTTGGTGCAAACCATCCAGGAGGAGGAAGAGGCTACTTAGGCTGCTAAAGGCTACCGGTGATGGGAAGGGTCAGACAGGACAGGGGCCAATAGAACTTCTGAACTGTGGGGGGCTGGGTGGGTGCAAGGGGCATCTCTCATCACCTCCTTTCCCGGGTGGCACACTCACCATAACCTGAAAGGATTGTGGGTCCATCACGAGATTTACAGGGTTGCTGCCCATCTTGTTGGGCCCCTGCTGGTCCTTGCCTTTGAGTATCCTTCTGGAGATTGTCCTTGAAAGTGCTCTGTGTGGGAGGGTCTTGCTCCTTTGGTGGCTTTGGCCCAGGTGGTGGCTGTGGATGTACCTGCTCCTGTGGCTGCTCGGGTGGTGGCTTCTGCTTTGCTGGTGGCGGAAGAGGCCCTTTTGAATCCTGGGATGGCTGGGATTTGTTTTCACACTGCTGTTTCTTCTCTTCCTGTTGTTTTACTTCCTAACAAGAAACCCCCAGCAAGTGACACCCTCTGTCCTCATATAATCACTTATCTGCAAGACAAATTCTAGGCAATGGCATATGGAAGACAAAGGGGTATGGAAGACAAAGGGGAAGTACAGACTGCCCAAGTGTCTCTGTCCCCCAGAGTTAGAGGCTGAACCTGAGGCCCAGGCTGTCTCCCTTCCCTGGCAGAGTACCCAAGGCATGGTTCTGGTCACTGTGCTAATTCCCATGGCTGGAGAGATGGCTCCATAGTTAAGAATGCCCTGAGTTCCCACCACCCACATCAGTAGCCAAACTTGGGTCCTCTGAAAGAGTAGCCAATGTTCTTATCCATCTCTCCAGCATGTTTTTATTATTTTTAATTGTGTATACGTGGAGGAAGGGGTGTGTGCAGTTGCCTGTGGAGCTTATTGTGCAGGCTGTTGTGAGCTGCCCCTACAAGGGTACTGCAGGAAAAGGAGCTCGGGTCCTCCAAAAGAACACTCTCTTGCACTCTTAACCACTGAGTCATCTCTTCAGCCACATGGACACTACATTTTTACTAAAGGCATTTGAGCTTTGGGCCTAGAGATGGCTCAGCATTGAAGAGTATTTGCAGTCCTTCCAAAGGACCCACATCGGACAGTTCATAGCCACCTGTAATTTGTTTCAAGGGATCTGACACCTTCTTTTGACCCCTAAGAGCACTGATATACAATGTGCAGACATACGCACATACATGTAAATAAAATTAATTTGGGAATTGAAGACATGGGTCAGTGGTTAAGAGCATTTCCATAAGACCCACGTTCAATTCCCAGTAACATATGACAGCTCTCAACAGTCTAAGAGTCTTGGACTCCAGTGGCACCAGGCACATACCTGATACACAGACAAACATGCAAGCAAAAAAGCATATACATATAAAAATAAATCATATACATACATATATACATATATACATACATATGTATACATGTATGTATATGATATATATATACACACACACACACACACACACACACACACACACACACACACACACTTAAGAAGAGGCAGGTGGATCTCAATAAGTTTAAGTTCAGTCTGGTCTACATAGTCAAAGTATACTCCAGGCCAACTAGGGCTACATGGTGAAACTAAAAAAAAATCCATATAAGGAAGTAAAACTATGCTGGGCGTTGGTGGCACACACCTTTAATCCCAGCACTCGGGAGGCAGAGGCAGGTGGAGCTCTGTGAGTTTGAGGCCAACCTGGTCTACAAGAGCTAGTTCCAGGACAGCCTCCAAAGCCACAGAGAAGCCCTGTCTTGAAAAACCAAAAAATAATAATAAATAAATAAATACATAAATATTTAGTCTGCAGACATGCAGACATGATGTCACATGCCTATAATCCCAGAACTTGGGAGATGAAGGCAGGAAAATTGTGATTTTCCTGCTATACCAGGCTACATAGTGAGACTATGTCCCCCTCACCAAAAAATAAATAGAACCAGAAAAATGCACAGTTGAAAAAGATTTACACAAGTTCTGCCAAAGATGCTTAGAAATTTTCCTAACATGCAAATTGAACTCATATAAACTTCAGCTTATTCTCATTAGCCACATTGCAAGGATTCAGTGGCACACAGGTTGGTGGCTTCAGCATTCAAGCTGTGTACGTGCAACTACTCTCAACTAGTTACTAGGAGACTGAGGTAAAAGGATCTTTGGAGTCCAGAAGTTCATAGTTAACCAGGGCAACAGATTGAGACCTCATCTCTTCCAATACCCTTTCCCTAACACCCCCTCCACTAGCCTGCAATGGGAAAACTGAGCTAGCTTGCCTCCTACCCAGCTCACAGACTTCCTGAGGCGTCTGTCATCCTTCCCCATTCCGCAGTGACCCTCCAGGACCCTGACGGACCACACCCTCTTAAGCACCTGTTCTTGCTGCTGTGCTATCAGTGCCTTTCTCCGTTCCAAGGCCATCTGCCGACGCCGAGCCTCCCAGTGGTAGGCGCTACCCATGATGGTAAGTGATAGAAAGCCCCAGCAGGGTGTGAGGGGAGGGAGAGCCCAAGATGATGTCACTGCACCCAAACTCCTCTGTTGCCTCCCACCCCAGCCACACTGTCTGTTACCCGGACCACCTCACAATGTGGCCACTGCCAGGGTAACTGGGCAGCACCCCTGAAGTGTTGGAGGTTGAGGTCAATTTTCCCAAGGCTCACAGGGAGCAGCTGTAAGTCCTCCAGAGTCCTGAAGAGGAAAAAGATAGTCCCTCAGTTCTGGGTTTCAGTGGACCCTGGAAACAATTTGGCAAAAAAAACGTGCTCATTTTGCTAAGCGTTGGTAGCACACGCCTTTAGTCTCAGCACTCGGGAGCAGAGGCAGGTGGATCTCTGTGAGTTTGAGGCCAGCCTGGTCTACAAAGTGAGTTCTAGGACAGGCTCCAAAACTACACAGAGAAACCCATATTAAGAAATAAAAGGAGCTTGGGACAAAGATATCCTTTATTAGAAAAACACCAGCCAAATGCAAGCCAGAGCGTGTCAGGGGCAGCAAGGCAGGCAGGCCAGAGAGAAGGAGCTCCTATGTGTCTTGCAGCCCCTTAAAACCCTATCATCCTGACCTCACCTTGACCACGCCCTGACAGGTGTGGTCAGGCACACCTGAAGCCAGCTTCTAGCAGGCGTGGCTTACACTGTCCCTAACAAACCCTGTCTCGAACCCCCCCCCCAAAAAAAAAAACCTTGCTCATTTTCTCTTATAGTGTCTCCTTTCAATGTTTGCCAAGGGGCTTTCTGATCCTCTGTTGGCCCTTCCCTCCTCACAAGCTGTCTGGAATTACCTGAGTTATCTTTCCCGAACACTTCCCAACCTCCCCTCGCTTACTGTTCTTTCGGTAATCATTTTCATTGAGTCGACATGAAAGAAAATATACAACCCAACTGAGCTACACTTTGGAGTAGTGGGGGTGGGACGCAGCCCTTGGATCTGGGCTAGCCTGTCGATTCTGTCTATGTAATGAGCTCTGGTTGAGTTTTAGTGTCAGATGCAAGTTTAATCCTGGCTGCATCACCTACTAAGCCGAGGGACTGTGGGCAGGCCACCCAGTGTCTCAGAGCTTGCCCTGTAAAGGATGCTGGTATGCTCAGAAAATGCCTGCCTTCAAAGTGGGCACTCATCTATGAAAAGTTAGAAGAACTGTCCCAACTCAGATATGGGACAGGAGTGGTGCTTTGCCTTGCTAGATTTTTCTTCTTCAGTAAAAGGACCATTTTTCCTTCTCTCGGCACCCAGGGAAATCATCGGCAGCACTGACTACTTCAAAGCAATAGGATATAATACATTAAAATGAGACTTAATACTTGCCACGGACCGCCTCTCGTGGAGACCACCTACCGAGGGAGAACAGGGAGAAGGCTCAAGGAGAAATCAGGAATCGGTGAGGAAATGACAGAAAGACACACTCAATGTAGTTGAATATGCTGCTGCAACTTTACTTCATCTCAAGCAGAGCTTATATACTATTACAATCAGGGAACTTGGCAAGGGGGCTACATCACCAGATCATAAAACAGAAAGAAAAAGAACAGCATAATTGTTTATAGATGATCTATTCTAAGCATCAGATTGCGGTCATTGCCCAAGGACATGATCTAAGAGTTCTCCAAAATCTGTCTCACACCACCAACCACGTCTCTACCCATTTCCTGATTCTCAGGACCTAGATATCTTTAGGTCCCAGGGTCTAAGTCTCCTGTAAAATAAGCCTCATAAAATTCTTCTACATCACGAAATCTATCAAATTCTTTCCATAAAGTCACCCAGTATTTTAATGCTGGCTTCATGTTTTCTAATACTTCTTTTCTTTCTTCTTTATCCAATATACACCAGGGCTTTCTAGATCTAGCTAATCTTTCCAGGAAAGGCAAGTCTTTCCAAAGTTGTCTTTTTCCCCTCATGATTCACCCATCTATTCCCTAATTCATCATAGCCTCCCGTATATGGGAGGGGATCTAGGTAATTTCCAGACTGCTTAGTCCACTGGGGTGGCGCCCACCATCTGTCTCTTATTTTATATTGTATATAACCTCCTGGAAGATGTCTGGTGGGAATTGCTAACTTCCGCAGCTGTTCTTCTGCAGAACCCTTAGTTTCACTCTTTTCATTACCAATTAACTGCTCTACTTTTATTTTCTCAGGGTCCACTGGATCCCCCTGCATAAGTAATTCCTTTTGCTCAACAGCATCGAGGAATTGTCCCAAGGATGAGCCCTTATTCCCTGAACTGGCCACTTCAGCAAAGGCTTTGATAAACGGTGGGGCAGAGTTCAGCATGTCCTCAGATGTTCCGTTAACATCAGCGCAGTTTGCTGGCAAGATACAAGAAGTACACAGAACAAAAAGACAAGGAAGAAGAGGCTGCAGTGGCGCCAAGGACAGCGGCTTCGAGTCGGCTCATCAGGCATCATGATCGCAGTTCTTGCTTCACTTGGGCCACAGAGCTGAAAAGACATTTCAAGAGACATGGAAATAAGAAT